TTCACCACGTAAGTAGACTGACGGCCTTTTTATTCCTCTAACGTGGTGCAGGTTGTTACCATCCGTGGACTAATTCTCACTAATTCTTAACTCTCATTCTTGCGCAGACACCACCAGACCCCAACGTAAGGATGAAGAGAATGGAAAGGAATATTACTTCATCTCCCATGAAGCCATGACCAAGAGCATCTCTGGAAATGAGCTGCTGGAGTATGGCAGCTTCCAGGGTTTCATGTTTGGCACCAAAATTGAGACCATCCAGAAGATCCACACGCAGGGCAAAATCGCTCTGCTGGATATAGAACCACAGGTTAGTGCCAAACTTCTTGTCATGTAGCATCAAAGCAGTTGATCTAAATAAAGAATACTGTGTCTGCCCTGGAGTGCTATTTTACCTTTTCTCAGAGTTGCATAAACTCACTAAATGTTTTTATGCTTAATTTGAGAGCTTTTATGTTTTCTTAAAGTTCTTTAGAATTGAGATATTCACCTACATGAATTAGCTTCACTCAAAGGGAAAGAAAATGCTTATCCAATCTAACTTTTTGCCCTTTAACCTAACCACATTGTTAAAGTAATATGGTGCAGATTCAGCAGTCATATTATTAGCTATTGTTTCAGTAGCTATAGCTGTGTTTGCTATACCTACTATCCACCTTTGACAAACCAAAGATGATAATTTTATATTCTCCTGCAGTGAGTTGCTTTTGTACTCATATTCATGCAGCACAGTGTATAGAAGTGATAATGTGGTATATTTTAGGATAGTCTAGACTGAAGTAGTTATTAAAAAATCCCCTAAAATCCCCTTTTGTTAAATAATGACTCAAAATGCATCTTTTTGAATGAAATTCACACTCCTTACAGGTAAACGTATGATTTTTTATAATGATTTCATTTTTCAAATTATTTTTCAAATAAAACTGGGCTAACAAGTGAAGGAAAAGCTGCTCCTTCTGTGCAAGTCAGTCTCTTGCACTGCAAAAACAATTCATATTTGCCTTTAACTTGTCTTGTTAAGAGGATGTTTAAAGTATCAGATGTGTGAAATGCCCTGTACTTCATCAGTTCTTCTTCTTCTTCCGGCTGCTCCCTTTAGCGGTCAGCCGATCATCAGATCATCTGAATCCATTTCACCCCATCCCTAGCATCCTCCACTGTCACACCAACCCTCCTGCAATGCATCCACGAATCTCCTTTGTAGTTTTCCTCTTTTCCGTCTGCCTGGCAGCTTCATATTACATGATCTGATATCCCATCTTGGACGAAGCTGTCATTGTTCCTACATCATCAAAACATTAGTTCAGGATCAACATCGCAACTGACAAATGACTTTGTCTGAGCATTCAGTTAGCATTAGACAAGAAGCTAGCTTATGCTTTTAAAAACTATCACTGGTGAAGCAACGCGAGTAACCTAAATTTGTCTAACAGCAAACCAAACTTGAAAGTCCACCTTGCAGTGTAATGACATCACAACAACGTAACTGCTCAGTTGCGACGCTGATTCAAAACTAACGTTGTTGTGATGATACAGGAACAACACCAACACATAGATAGTAGACACACCGCTCCATATTCAACATTTTTTGTACAGAATATCCATATTCCCTCATCTGCACATGTCTAAACCATCTCCGCCTTGCCTCTCCAAATTCTTCATCAAACTACTCAACGTAAGCTGTCCCACTGATGTACGTGCTTCTAAACTAAACCACTAAATCCTTCTTGCAGACCTTGAAACTCTTGCGGACAGCTGATTTTGCACCTCTGGTAGTTTTCATTGCACCGACCAACACCGCTCCCCAGGTACTAAATCTTATCCAAGTGTTTTAAAATCCCCAAATTTCCCAACCACAAACTGCTAATCATCTACATCTCCTCTCCTAGACGGAAAATCTGCAGATGATCCAGAAAGAGTCAGACGCCATCCTGAGCACATATGGACACTTCTTTGATGTGGTTCTCATCAACAACGACGTGGATGAAAGTGTTAAGGGTGTGGAGGAGGCCATGGAGCGGGCCACGTCCACCCCTCAGTGGGTGCCTGTGTCATGGGTGTACTGAAAGATGTTTGGCACCACTATGATACCTTCTTTTTGTTGAATAGCAGTGCAATATCACTCCTTTACGCAATGCCCCACGTGTGTGTGGGCTTACTTTTAGGTAAATGTTAATTGTCACAGAGATTTTTTTGCACTATTGCGTTTTTAAAAAGAAGCAATATGTTGACAGGGTTATCTCAGAGAGTCGAGAGCCTCGCCAGGGATGGTTTATTTGGCTGTTTAGACACTTTGTGCTTCAGGGACTAACTGGTGAAGTTTTGGTGCCGCACATCTTTGGGATTATTTGGAAAGTAAAAGAAAAGCAAAACGGGGCGATAACTGTGAATGAAATCCTCACTCTGACGTAACTGAGTTTTAACAGGCACATCCTGAAATTGTTCATGCTGCGAGTGTAGTGCCATATATCATTGTTTGTCACAGAAAACCCTTCGCTGAATCATTAGAGCCTCGCAAAAATGTATACCTCATATGTTACTAGAAAAGGCACTTTGAAACAAAAAAAATAAATCTCCCATCTCTGTTGCAATTGAGTCTTTGAATGTGTTTTACGTTAAAAGCTGTTTCTCAGACCTTTCGTGGGATTATTTTTGACAGTTTGCTTGTCGTTAGGTCATCTCCTTTCATTGGATCACAAACATAAAAGGGCGTCTTTGAACCGAAATATAAAAGTCGAGGTTTAGTCTTTATTGTTTCGGTGTCATCTAGACTTTTTCTGCCTAAAGTGGTTCATCATAACGGGGCAGACGTAAGACATACTTCAAATCTCTCTTAACATTTTGGTCTTAGATGTAGTGCAGGGGTGGCGGGGTGGGGGTGCAAAAGGTTCATGTCTGCCTGAATATTTCAGAGTGCATCATAGCTCAAGGCTGCCATCAATAATAGATCAAGGCGTGCATGTCTGAATGGTAGGATACAAGCAATGCACCTGTATCAACCACATTGCAATTCGTCCCTCATCCACACTGTGGGATAAACACTTACAGGCTGTACATGACAATGAATTTCATTCCAATTCAGTTTTGCACAGAGTTCCTGGCAGCAAACGCGTACAGACTGAAATTAAAACATGTCGCTCCGTGGACGGATATATTTATGAGTGTGCAAATAAATGACACAGTTTAGTTCTTAAGTCATTAAATCCAATGTGGATTTGATCCAAAATCATCAAAATTAAGTTGAAGGTAAGGCTTGACAGTGAAATCTGGTGTATGGTGTACTGGAAGCAAACACGTAGAAAATCCGTGCCGATTTAAATTGTGTCTTTTCAAGAATTAACAAAAGGAACAAACATTTTTAAGTCTACAAATACAACTTAAGCTGCACAGTTTAAAAAAAAAGGGTGTTATTTCGTCATCAGCTGATTAGCTGTGTTCAGGTCTCAATGCTTTCTATACATATGAAATGAAAAAACAAAACATCATAATAACAAGCTGGGTTTTCTCAATTTTTTATTGCGTGCCAGCTGTACAACATCTTCCACATCGTGACTGAGGTCATCGTTGTGAAGGGGATAGTTACCAGTGCATCGTTAGCCTGTGAGGGGGTGGGCAGTGAAGTAACGCTGCCTTTTGATGCCACCAAGTGGTTGAGTGTGAACAGCTACAGCTCCTCTGCTGCAGGCTAACAAGAAGATTCTTCAGCTCTGTAACAATAACCCCAAACACCATAATAAGTTGTATTTGCCAAATTTTAGACCAGCAATCTAGTGCACATTTACATGGTCTTGTTAAATTTTCTTCTAGCGTGACATTTTTACCATGATTGAACCTTATCAACGGACGCAAACGCAGAGAATTAAAGAAAACAGGGCCTGTTTGTCACCATTTCAACCTTACATTTGTTTGGTCTTGCAAGGTATTTCAGTTTGTGTGGTTTATTAATGCAGCAGAACAAGCCCACTGGTGTGTCACATAGGATCATATTAAATTTAACTGTGCTTTGTGTTATTTATTTTACCAAGGATGCCCCCAGTCTTGCACAGCAACACAGTTGTTCATTACACAGATTGTAATGGAAACACTATAGATATATTTTTTTAGCCAAAGGTAAAACATAATTAAGGCACATTGATTTCCATACACTGTGTTGATCCTGCAGCAGTGGGAGCAGCTTCCACTCTCTTAGGGTTTATAGTACATTAATTGAACTCTGCCTCGTTATCATCTTCAGCTTGGAACATCTTTGAAGGTAATACATTTGGGGCAGCTGTCAAGAGCTCTCGAGACCTACAAACAATAACTATTTTTAAAGGCTGACCTTTAAACTTCCTCAAGATGTAATTCTAAGTCATCAAGATCTAATTGGACCAACCATCACCATGATGGTGATGGTTGGTCCAATTAGGACCAATTAGGACCTTCATTATTATAAAGTCATTACAAAACAGATAAAATAAAAAGAAAGGCTGCAGAAAAATAATGTTTCAAATCCATTTTTTGTTGCTTGACCTTTCGTTTTACTTAACTTGTACTAATCATCCTTGGGATGTAGGAACTGTCCACAAAGGTCAAGCTTGTACCAGCCTGTCACACATGAACTGTACATATACAAGTTACAGTATCAAAGCTATTACATTGCAGATTTATGCCAGTTTGAAATATTATATATATATATATATAAATAAATTTTAACAGCCACATTCATATTTACTATAAATGATAACCTAGGCTACTGCTTATCTCGCCACACCCCCTTTCGAGGAACGCCATTTTGTTGACAGACAGACCCGCCGTGAGAAAAAGCTCCTTTCTGAGGAGCTAGAACCCCAAATGTGACCGCAACATGCAATGTATTTAAATGAAACACGAGCAGATCCCCAATAATAGCCCCCACAGTTGAAAACGATGCTTTGTGGGCGCTAAAATGGCGTATTTGAAGTCTCCGGCCACCCATTTCAACATGAAAGTCGCCGCGATTGACGTCACCGAGCCATCTTTGTCCACCTAATCCAGGCGGAGGGTTATTACACCTTCATTACAGCACGGTCTCCGACAGCACCGGGCTCTAGTAAATAGCCTGTCAGGTGCCGCAAATCTGTAGACATAGAGATAATTTTTAAAAAAAAGAAAAAAAAGAGGAAGAAATATATAGCGAGGAGACACCTCTCAGTGGCAGATTCAAACTCAGTGCTCCTCCTAGGATATATAGGCAGGCAAACGCCACAATAACCAACCAAAGGCTGCCAGAGGGTAGAGAGGAGCGCAGAAGGCACATCCACATCCATCTGCCAGCCACTTAGCACGCGCTAACATTTCCAGTCCGGATTAGAGCACAGCTGTCTCCCTGCTACCAGGAAAATGTAAGTACAGCTCGCTGATTTTTTTTATTTATTTTTTTGTCAAATCCGAATTTATTTAATTTGGTCCTCACGACTGGTGTTTGGGAGGCTTTGTGGGGATTTGTGGTGTGTAGACAGTGTTCCTCAGCCGTCATAAACTGAGATGGTTATTAATCTCTGCTGTTGTGTTGATCATGGAGAAATATCGCAGTTTGATCTCATTTCACAGCTGTCTCCTTCTGATAATATGACCCAAAAGTGAAGAGGCTAACGCGTCGGCCTAACCTTAGAGCAGACGGTGGGGTCGGGTTTAACTGTTATTAAACGCGTTATTAGCCTTATTTTCAGTGTGTGTACAGTGAACGTTTTTGTCGACTGTCTTTTTCCTTGTTGTAATTATTAGTTGTTGTTGTTTTTTTTCTTTTGCCGTGAGCTACATTTGACTTGAGCCAGCACGTACGCATTTTTTTTCCAGTTTGGACTGGTTTGATTTGAAAAGGACACAGTCTGTGTGATTATACCCACGGGCTAATTAAAATACATTTATTTATTTCTTATTATTAATAATAATATTAAGAAGAGAAAAGACGTCGTGTTCTCTAAAGCTGTGTCCCCTTGTTCAACATTTCCAGTGCATTATTCTTCCCTTGCCCAGTCACAGGTGACGATTTGGCTGATTCTAGAAACAGCAAGGACATAACGCTGAACGAGCCATACTAGCTGTTTGACCAGCGCCAGACTATTTGGATAGCCTGTTGAACACACCCTCGACGATTTTCGACGAATACACCATAAAACTTGTCAAAGACTGTTATTATTAGCTCTGAATTAGGCTTAGGCCTAGTTTACGTGATGTTTGCAACCTACAGCGGGGGGTGGGGATAGCCTAGCCTCCTACTGTATGTCGTCGATTGTAGTGCGAGGGCGGACAGCTGTATATCTCACCACATTTCATTGTTGTTGGGTCTTCGTGGGTAAATGAAGCATGTAAATGTCTTTCTTCACACACCTTTATTGTCCATTTTTGTTGTTTTTGACCGCACGGTCAAAAGGGTGGGCTGAGGAAAAGTAGCCGCCACAGCCTTCACTGTCAGCATTCGCATAGCAGGCAGTTTTAAGGGTGAAGCAGCCTGGTTCCGACACACGACCTGTCATTTACCAGTGTCGTCGTGCCTGTTAGCGTTTTCTCTTTGGGCTTTGAGTTACATTTGTCGACATACTTGGTTGTTATTGTGCATTTAAGAGCTTAAAATACACCCTCCCTAATAAGGAACCTCCCCGCCCTCGACGTTGGCAGGCTGTAGGTGTTTTACAGGCCCGTCCTGCTCGCGGTGGACAGGGATGTTTCGTGTTTCCTGGTCTGTGTGGGTACACGGTCACACATGAATGTCGTGTAGGTTAGGATCCAGTGCCCAGCATCAAACAGACTGGGACAGACATGCTGGGATCAGACAGTTTCGTGTGGACTGCTGTTGCGCTGTCCAGTGCTGAAATGTCGCTCTCCAGTGCTGATCAGGCGGCATGCTTTTCCGTGACAGCGACAAACATAAATCAATTGCAGAGTTAAATGTCTGTCTATCTGCCAACCTTACTCTGGCTTAAGGTAACCAAGCATAAATGTTGAAATGCTTCCTCATTTCATCAGGGCCCCCTGAAAACCTTAATAAGTCCCATCAGTGTTGCAGCAGCTCTCCACAGGGCAAGACTATTTTTAAAAGCACTATCTTGAAAGAAGGTTGAATATATTTAGCTTTCATAGGAAAACTGACATTAGCAGTGGACTGTAGACCAAACTGCATCTTACGTTAGGGGCTTTTATTAAATCAGAGTTGCATTTGCATTTTGTTTTTTTTGTTTTTGTTGTTTTCACTGATTACAATCTCAAAGTGCGATTGAACTGGAATACTGGCACACAGATTGCTGATAGAGTCATTTATAAAATAACTATGTCTCCTTTTTTTAATGTATTAAAATGAAAACAATATATCTTTTTTATAAATACACAGAGCATGAAATCACTTTATTTAGTTTATTTTCAGTTTGTTTTCTTAACTTTAAAGCTTTAAAGGTTTTAGATTATGTTCTGAAGTTGCACACAGATGAGAAATGGTTGATCAAATCAGCAGCACACAGTTTTCGCAGGATGTGAAAGCTGGTGAGAAATGTCGTCACAGCACTAGCAGCTCTTCTTGGTGCTAGTTTAGAGGTGATGACAGCGTGAACCTCTGTACACATTACACCTTTATGGTGGGACTCATTGGAAAGTTGGGGGGAGCTCATAGTAATTATATATATATATATATATATATATCTGTGCAACTTTATTGTACATTCATGCCTGTAAATATACAGTTATAGAATAGTAGTCATACTAGTCTGATAAAATAAAATAATATCAGTATTTTGCACGTGTTTGTTTGTATTTTAAGGCAAATAATATTATTAATATGACATTTAGCTGTTATAATTTTTCCTTGGCGACTCATAGGGACCACCAGCAGCACCACGTAAACTATTTGAAAGGATTTGTTGTTGTTAAAGGATTAGTCATTTGTGAGTGTGCAGAGGTGACCTTTATACAGAGTTTCCCCTCGCACTAGTGAAGTAGCTCAGTTACAGCTAAGGTATAGTTCTCGTAAGATGCTACAAGCTTAGCTTCATCATAGAGTGTTTGTTCACGATCTTGCTTTGTGGTCATTGTTTTAGTTTGGATTTATAGAAGCAAATGGTAAGCATTAGATCACACTCCATCTGTGTATTTTTAACACCTTCTCACTTGCATTTCAGGAGTTGTAGCGACCACGTTATACATTATACATCAAGCTGTATAATGTTTAAAGGTTATGTTTAAAATAGCCACAAACTATTCCTGAAAAAAATATTTAAAAGTATATTTGCGGATGTAATTTGCGCCTGATGCCCATTCATTCTCCATCTCAGTCATGAGATGCGTGTCATAGAGGATTCAAAGTGGATATTTTTTTATTTCTATTGATATACTACAAAAACTATGGATATACCTCAATCACAAGTAGTGTAGCAGCACAGAAAAGGCTAAAGTTTAAAATAGATATAAATGACATTTGCATCAGCGGTGACAAATTTAAGTATTTTTTACTAAGACAAAAAGAAGCAGAGAAACTATTCTGAAACTGCCATGTGGTGGAACTCTGCACACGAGGTTTAGAAATGGCAATGATGAAGAGACATCTGGGTTGGGATGTAGGGTCATTTTACCCAAGCTGTTTCACTATTTGGGTCCTTTTGACTTAATGTTATGGACCATAACTATAACTCTCTCTCTCTATATATATATATATATATATACATATATGCCTCCCTTGATTCAAAAAGCACAGGGCTCCAGTACATGTTGACTTTTTAGCGGTAAATGACACTCCCACTCTGTGAAATGACACTCTCTCACTGTGGTCACCGTTTGTACATAATGTCAAAGAACAGGCTCATCTAGCCCAAGAGGACAAGTTCAGTAGTAGATTGATATATACTAGCATATAGAACTGACACATTGTGAAACCTCCACATCTGTTACATCACACTTGATGGCCTCTTTAGGTTTTTGTGAAGATTTCGGGGAGCATGACTCATTCTTTTGTAGACTTAATTTTCACCGCATCACAAAAAAACACTTGTGGCTTTTTCCCCATCTGTTGTAGAGTAATGTGGGAATTTAACACGATGAACATGCTTTACATACTATTGAATATTTGCATTTGTTTATCATCAGGTCTGCCCCAGCCGCCGGAGCCCCTGCACCCGAGGGAGGGAATCAGCCCCCTCCCAACCTCACCAGCAACCGCCGTCTGCAGCAGACACAGGCACAGGTGGATGAGGTGAGTACAGTGCAAACACACACCCAGGCATTCATGCATTTCATTTCATTCATTCATTCCTCACATACTAAAAAAAGAACTGAAAAAAATGAACATTTATTAATAAGTAGTGGGTTTGACTCCTCTATCATTTCTCCAAGTCTTCAAACAGTTTTTGCTATAAAAATATATAAACAATATCCTATATCTAGTAACCCTTACATGCAGTCATGTTGTCTTGATGGCCGATTACACCACACTGCTCTGCGTGTTTCCCCCCCAGGTGGTGGATATCATGCGTGTAAATGTGGACAAGGTTCTGGAGCGTGATCAGAAGCTGTCAGAACTGGACGACAGGGCCGATGCCCTGCAGGCTGGAGCCTCTCAGTTTGAGACCAGCGCTGCAAAACTGAAGAATAAATACTGGTGGAAGAATGCCAAGGTGAGGTCATGCAGACATCCTTACTTGAATAGCAAATGTCTGTCTGTTTACAGACAAAATGAAAAAAAAGAAAAAAAGAATAAAAATCAAAGTGAAACAGAAATCCTCTGCAAACATGGAGCCACCTACAACCATCAGTTTCTGCTATAAACTTTGCTCTTGAGCCTAATTTTGTGTGTCACTGGTAGAAATTATACGTGTGCTGTATGTGATATTGATATTTTTAGTGCTTTAAAGAGTTTTTTTTATTAAAAATCTCTGTTTTTTTTCTGGAAATCTGCTGATTACAGATGATGATTATCCTGGGTGTGATATGTGTGATTGTCCTCATCGTCATTATTGGTAAGAAGCACACTGATAGTTTCTATAACAGATATAACAGTTATTTCAATGGTGTTATTCATTTGTAATACACATACATTTCTTTGTAATTGCCTTTTTAATCTCCTAACCCGTGCAGCGATTTACCCTCCTTCACCTCTCCTCTCTTCTATGTCTCTACAGTGTACTTCAGCACCTAAGAAGAATTGCTCCTACCCCAGTCTGATCCTAACTTCCTTGCTACAGAAAAAAAAACAAACCTCAAATTGATGACAAAATTAACCGCAGATGATTAATTTACTCTCTCTATATATAATTACATCTCCCCAATTAGCCTTGATATAACACCCCTAAACCCGTCAGGGCCCCCACGGCTCCCCCACTTCCACCACCTCGCCTCTGGACCCCTGTCAATATTTGTCCTGTGAGTGTGTGGCCCTGTCTCCTTTCTGGGTACTCTTGGCTTTTCTAACCTGCCATACTGAGAACCAAACACTTGTGACGATGCATCAACAGAAAAGGAAACAACGATTGGCGATAATTGTTACATAACTGATATATATATAGTTCTTTGTAGAGTTTTATTCTGATATATACCGTTTTGTAGGTGTGTGTGTGTGCGTGCGGTGCGTGTGCATTTTGTACTTTTTATTTTTTGTATTAATTTTACGTATGCTTCAGCGGTAACTACTGCCTATTAATCGAAGTGTGTACTTTTTGCATGTTTTTCATCATCTTTCCGTCCCCTTGCTTCTTCTCTCTTTTTGGTGTATTTTTGCACAGTGGAGTTCGCCTCCAATCAACTGGGATACAAATTTTCATCTTGTCTGGGTTACTCGCATCCAGCAAAACAAGCCAGAGAACTAAAACTTGCATTTTTTTAAAAAAAAAGTGACATCAAGTTACAGAAATTGGAGCTAATCCGCAGAAAAAACTGCCCTTAGAAAATCTCCAGGTTACTCCTTGTTCGGCTCAGGATTTCGATAACTTGATGCCGCGAAAAACAAAAATCAAGTCTTAGCTTCTTTTATGGCTTTTTGAGCGATTTAACGCTCACTGATAATCCCTCAAGCGTACAAATAATGCATGAATTGTGAAACTGACCTAATAATCATCACCCCTCCGGACCCCTTTCCATGTAATCCTCCCATTAACCTCCATTTCTCTTTTGAAATTTCCCTCTTGAATAACTTTCATCTGTTGCGTCTTTTATGCCCCCACCCCACCTTCTGTCTCTCGGCATGCTTGGACACCTCAATTTCTTGTGATAATTTCGAAACTGCCATAGTACATTTGGACCAATGTCTGTAGATGTTTCTTTTTTTATTTAAATATTACGTAGTGTCTTATTTCGAAAACATTCCTTCATTGCAGTCTAGTGCAAACGCTCTTACTGTAGCACATGTAAGTGTAAGTATCTTGAAAAAAAAAGTAACAAAAAATGCGATGAACCTATTGTCGAAAACGTCAGTCGTGCAAACCACTGGAGAAAAAAGTTAAATAGCTGTAAGGGTACATTTTCAATAGGCAGGATTAGACTTTGAAACTGTCCAGATTATTTTTTTAGAGGTATTATCTTAACACACTTACACACTCACACTTATATTCTGGAGATGTATTCTGTGAAGGTACCGTTGTGTAAATTGTTGAATTCGCACACAGCAACGTTTCCCCAGTGTGGACACTAAAAGGCCTTAGTCTTAGTCTTCAGTCACTTTTTTTCAGTAAGTGTCAATTATTTCCAGTCACACAATCTCCCCCCCCCCATCCCCCTCACACTTTTAGTAGGTGTGGAGGGACTGCAGAAGAGGAGTCTGCTTCAAATGCACAAGCTACCTTGTTTTTGATGGCGCTGTCTGGCTCTTCCATAGCCTGGTCAAAGCAGGTCCTGGTGCAGTAAAAATCAAACAAACAAACAAAAAAAACCTCTCCACATGAAGAGCACATTATAAAACAAGACAATTCAGCCTCGTAGATTTAGCAACAGGGACAGGGGCTAATTAGTCAAATTCACAGTTTTAGATTTACTTGAGCTGTTTGCTAACCTTCAAAGGTTAGCTAGCGACAAGACAAGTAAGTCACAATTTAAAAAAACAAACAACAAAAAGTAGCATTCCTAAGACGAGCATTTTGCTAGAGCAGTGGTTTGTCTCGGTGTGTCTCCCTATAGTCAAGGCCTTTTTCTTTTTTAAATATATAGATTCTATTTTTTAATTATAGTATATTTTTGTGTGAAACAGACAGGTAAAGAGGAAGTGTGCAATCAGTACCATTTGCTGCTAGCTGGCAGCGAGCTCCTCTTTACCTCTGTCTGCTGTGTTTTTTGTAATTCAGCTCTGTGCGTTACACACTGCCAAGCATCAAAGGGAGAGGCTTCTGTTGTTATCGCAGTTCTTTCTTTCCTTGGTGCCCTCACTGGTTTGGTCTTGAACTTTTACGTAACTTGATTTCGGCATCTAACTCCTGAGCGTGACCATTTCGGCTATTCTAGGAGCAGGAGAACAGGGCAATATAGATGCACTTGATTTCTTTTTTTTTCTAATTTTCAGACACTGCGGGACACTAAGGCCTTTTACACATTTCATTTCTCAAAACCGCCGAAAAGGTTTCGCTCTCAGCTGCGGGATGATTTAGAATTTTCCCTCGTGGTTGTGGTGAATTAAAGTTTATATCGTGTTTAGAGAAATGATGTACCGGCCTAGCATTGATAAATGCTCAACAGGAAACTGCTCCGTTTATGCTTTACTGCCACTGATGCCACAGTCCTGAAATTTAGTTTTGAAGGAAATACAGCATTTCAGAGCAAATGTGTATAAAGCCTTAGCAGCCTTGTGTCTTTTTATCTTCCCCACCACCTGAGTAAACCAACCTGCCCCTCTTTGCTCAACTCACTTTTTGAAATTCCTTGTCTGCGCGTGTGAGTGTATGTGTGCACAAGTGCTTTAATGTGTATGTGTGTGTGCATGTGTGAGTGTTAGAATAGCTCAGTCTTGGGAATATCCCCAGTTTATCCTGACAGATTAGGCCGCTTAACTCTCAGAGTGAAGGCACGTTGTTTCCTTGATCACTGAAGTACGATGAACAGAGAGGTTACCAGAACTGTTGGCCCGTTCCAACCTTAACACACCCCCCACATACACATATATTTATCCCCAAACAAAGCAAAAGCAAACCACAGAAGATTACCAAAGACCAGAATTCCATGCTTATGCTGCCAATTGCCATCAAAAACAAGCGGATAGGAAGATGTTACCCAAGCTATCCCAGTCTGTCTCAGATAGCTTACACCCTTACTCTACCTATAGGAACTTTGAACTCGTACACACTGTTTATGTGGTGTGTCAGTTACGGCTTGTGAGTGTGCCATCCTACTAAACGTATGCAAGTTAAACCAAAACTTGAGGACCGCATGCTTCAAATCTCAAAACTACATTAGCCTTCCCCTAATTATGTGTATCCAGGTTTGAAGAGCTTCTTTAATCTGTAACTAGTTTGTAGACACATGATCCTATAACTAATTATAGCACAAGTCTTCTTTTTTGTGTGTCTCCACAATGCTGCCAATTTTTCAGAGGACAAAAAAAAAATCAAGATACAAACTACAGCTATTAGACAAACCCGAGAAAAACAGTGAAATCTGCATCTGTTTGGTGTTGTAATATGGGGGTGTTTTGGGGATAAGGGGTCAATATCCTCAGGTTTAAGCCACTAGTAAATTCACCATAATATGTACAAGGACAAAAACTGCATGAGAAAAAGTAAAATTGGATTTTTTTGGCAATATCAAATCATCATTGGGTTACAGATGTGGTCCTTTTAGCCATCTTACAGGAGTTAACCATACAGTGGACTGAAGTGGTATAACACTACTGATTGGGGTAGGATTTGTGTGTTCTCCATAAATCCAGCTGTTGTCCCGTGAGAGCTCAACCCTATTGGTCACAATAGTGAAAACGAAGTGATTGCTCTCTTTTTCTGTTGCTTTACTGTCTGTACGAAAAGAAGTGTGCATAAATTTGAACACCGTGGCACTTTCTTCTTCTTCTTCTTCTTTTTTTTTAAATGTTGTGACTCATTCATTTTCAAGCGGGATGGGAATATGATTCACTGGTGAATATTGTCTTACGTCAGCCTCAAGAACCGTTCAGCGATCTCAGCGCTGTGTTCAGGTCATTTAGGGGGAATAAGTGTTTGGAGCCCCTTTTTTACAGGGCTCTTGAATTTGTAACTCAAATTTTGAAAGCAAACGAGCAAAAAAGAAGGAGACCAACGCAAAATCCGCAACCTTATTGAAATGTTTGCCATTAAGCCCTAAAGGGGGTGAACGCAGCAATAGGAGGGAACCTTTTGAGTCTCTGAATGTTCTTTGGATGGCTATCAGTTCACAATATTCTACTTAACATATGTTAACATGTTTCTTTTGTTCTTTTTTTGAAACCAAATATTGTGTTTTTATTTTGCATCAGTTTAGTAATAACTTCAGATGTCACTGAGTTGTTTGTGTGTCAGCACTGATGGGTAAAGGTAAAGAAAATGGGAAGTTAGAAGGGCGGGGGAAAGTATTTTTACCTTCCAATAGTCCAGAGTGCTTAGAATGACTCTACAGTTTACATCAGATTGCCGTTTGTATCTACGAGATATTTTTTTGTTTAAATCAGTTTATTTTTGAGGAAAGACTTTTCTTTTTCTTTTTTTTGTCTTTTTGGGAGTGGGCTTTCTGAGATGATGGTCCATATTGCCCCTGGTCATCTGGCCTTACAGGAGGGACAGGACTGGAAGATCATGGGCAATGTGCTGGGCTGTATGTTTTTTTTTTTTCTGTTTGCTTTTATTTATTGATAAATTTATTGTGCTGTCATTTGGTATGGGATTAGAAACTTAACAAGGTTGACTCAACGCAAAGGAGAGGAGACTGAATGAGAAACTAAAGTACATAAAATAATTGTAGTGTAAATCTATCAATGTCTTATTATATTGATGAACATCATGAAATATATGTATATTGGAAAAACTGTGTCTATGACAGCTTGTGCTTTCATTTGTGCTTCCTGCTCTTTGTCCGTGTGCAACAATGGGGAAATGCAAATGTGACTGCAAATCTGGGACCTGTGTGAATAAGCATACAGTTATTACCAATGCAAATGATATCCTCAATTGATCCTTATTATATGCAAGAGTGCCAAAAAAGACTATGTTGAGACCTGAAGTCAGAAAAATGTGCATCTCTGCATCCATTCAGTCTTGTTTATAGTCTCTTTTTAACTCCTTAAACTCACATTAAGACTCTCGCATCACTGAAAACTAAACAGCATGCACAACCAGTTGCATGAGCATATAAATGAGCTAAACCATAATGTAGCTCATTCACTGTAGTTAGACTAATAAAGTAGGCACAAAACTTACGCCTCCATTGTAATCACGCACACTAAATTCTGTATTAGAAAAGTAAGTCTCTTGAAACCAGAGGGCAAAAATACAAACTGTCAGGTGTGGCTGAGACACTCATATACGTCACAGAATTGCTCTCTAAAAATTTCTAACAACCTGCCAATATCTAATTAGGGTTTTGGAACCAGGGAAACCTATGGAGTATTAGGATCATATTTTTAAAAATACAATAATTAAAGTTGAAATTTTGAGAACATAAATAGAAACTTTAAGAGTAAAGCCACAATTTGTGAGAATGCACTACTTTTTGTTTCAGGTAACAGATAGATAATTTCTCTTTTAGCATCTGGTAACCAAGTAAGTATCGAAAATTAACTATTTTATCTTATTGTCGACAATTTTATTCCAAAATCAAGTAGTATTTTTACCTTTATTCTCGAATTTTCTACTTAATTCTAATAAATGCTCAATCAAAAAAAACAAAACAAAAACGTTATCATCGTCGTTTCCGGTGGCTTTTATTTTGAAGAGTAGCTAAAGCGGTCATATTTCTTGCTATCGTTTCACTAAATATGAATTTCCTAGCCCACATATGTAATAAAAGAAGAAGAAAAAAGCTCTCCAGCAAGCGCTAGCTCTAAATTAAGCACAGAAAAGCAAAGCTTCATTTTGCACATTATTATCATGGCGCTCTCGAGCTGACTCTTTCGAATTGCTTCGTCAGCGCAAAACAGGCTTTCTGACAGAGTGGCTAAATGAACGACTGCACACGCTTCAAATGGAACAACTTGGACGAAGAAACAGAAAATGAGCTGCTATCACTCCGAAGATGATGAAACAGAAAGAGGGGGGATAGACCATTGTTGTTACACGACTTCACCATCTATTTGTGAGGGCGGCGATAAGAAATAACACTGCGCCCAAGATGTAGCTTCACATTTTCACCGCTGGGTGTCGCCCTGTCCTCTACTTTACTCACACTAAACTACTTGCCAGCATGCAAAAGCATAGATGCTGGCTTGCAACACTTCGTTTATATCACCTCTGCATGCAACCAGCTACATCAAAATCTGTGAGGGTAACCACTGCTCTATTTGCACACTTAGAGTTTTCTTTTCAGATGTTTCCTCCTGCAAGCGTCTTGTTTTTGTTTTGATGGTGTTTATTGTTTGAACTCATTTCTACAGATGGATATAGTTGGCTATTTTCTAATCTGTCTAACTTGTGCTTTTTATTTCTGAAAACCACATGTCTGCCACTGCAGCATGAGGGAAAAAGCATGCATGTGAAAAGGAATGAACTTTTTCTAGCAGAATACTGTCATTACCATGACTCGGACTTACTGGCAAATAAAGATGTCTCCTGAGCAGCTACCATAAAATGTGAGGGAAGTCAAGTATTAGGTGTGACATTTGAGTTGCCGTTAGATCTGACTTCAGTGAGACATCCTGTTATTGCTGTGAGCTTTTTGGCTCATTCACTGGAATATCTTATTTTCCCCATAAAACGCACAATGAAGTGCATCCAGGAAAAAGGCTATTATGGCTCAACGACTTCCCTCCTGAAAAGTGACAAACTCAGACAAAGCAGGACACAGTCATTCCAAGTCACCTCTGCATGTGCTTCCATCTAGTTATCACTGAGATCCTATGAGAGTTGGTCCTTACTGCAACACACCACATGATTTGAGGAATGTTTTTTTTCTTCTTTAAAAAAAATGTGCGGAGTGAATTTGTGAGGAACCATATTTAAACAGAACAGATGGCTCTACAGTTGCTTTAAAATCATCAGTTTGGATCCATCCCCTTTACAGATGGATTCACACAACTGCACGCATTCTGGTTTTGGTTTTTTTCCTCACCTCTGAAGCACAGTGTCATGTTAAATTGTGTTTCAGAGTTTAAAAAGTGAGGGAGAGAGATTAACAGCTTGCAAAAGGAAATGTGTGGATGTAATAACAGTAATGTGCTGGCTCAGGGAGGCATGGACGTGACCTAACTCCAGGGTGCGTACCAAAAACAACTTTTCACTTTTCTGGGACTGTCTCGCTGTCAAACTGTTTTAAGTTTGTTTTCCATTTTTCTCAGTCAGCGCACCCCTCCTCTTTTGCCTCAGCCGTCCGTTCACTACAAGTCATCTCCTCCCCCGCTGCTGTTCCCTCTTGACTCCCCAGCAGGAATGTGGGGCCAGCTTGGAGGACTCTTTCAGGAGTTGCAGCAGAAACCTACACTCTTGCCTCGGATTACGGCTTAAAGGTCACTGTTACTCCCACACATATTGACAGCGGCTGCATGGTTGTGCAGACGCCGTACACTCCCCCCC